CATAGTATATTTATATTTCAAAATTTCAAAATTTCAAAAGTTTAAAATTATACTTATTACAAAATTTTGATTTTTTTTTTCTGATCAGGTTATAATATGTTTTTTTGTTCTTGATGATTATATAAGTTTATATTTGAATGTTTTGTACATAAATTATTATTTAATAGTATGTATACGAAACTTCTTTCATATTTTATACCATACCTACTGATTTGTACATATTTATATTTATTTGAATTTTTAATTTGTGTAGTTCCTATAGAAAACCGGTCTGCGTAAATATTTTTATGGATATGGTACGAATAAATAAATAATTTAAGTTTTAGATGGTTTTTCTGAATGAATAAATTGAATTCGATTTGAACAAAGAACAAAATAATCCAATATTTTACGCATTATAGATAGCTGGTACCAAATGACTCGTGAACTTGGCGAACATCAATGATTCAGTTTGAAATTGTAAATTAGTTTGATTGTTAGACATTTAATTAAAATATAAATAATTAATTGATCGACGCTTTCTTATATAATCTTACTGTTCGAAATAAAAATATGGCTATGCCCATTTCATATAATCGAATTGTATTGACATTATATAAAATATAAATTGACAACATAAAGCAAACATCATTATTTCATAGTTTATAATACAGGTGCCTACCTATATAATTCATCTATACAGGGTACCAGCTATATGTTTGGGAGGAGTATATGGAAAAAAACCTAATATAGTTGTTTGTTAATTGTTCATAAGTAAACAAAACTATATAGATTGGTACCTAGGTATATTATCATACTAATTGGGTTCAGTTTTAATGGTATTATAATGTTGGTACACTGTGTAATATTGTAATTCCTAATTCCTAGTCATAGGCAATAATATCATTTGAAGGTTCATTTATGGGGTAACTTCTTATATCTCCGGTTTACTACAAAATAATAAATGGAAAAGAGAAGTTATAGGAGCTATAATTAACAAAGTACTCACAACAAAATGTAAAACATACAACAATGATTAAATATAAAAACATCACAAATAAATATGTTTTTTTAATAGAAAAAAAGTATTGACAATTGTATTTCACGATAAGAATATATGCATATAATAATATAGGTACTTCGTACTTATAATTGATTTGACTAAAATGTATTTTGTACATTGTATTTTATTTTAATTAAAATATAATTTTTTCCTTATCTCATTTTCCCGAACCTTGACTTTTGATATAATATATTAGATATACATATAACATATATTATTACGAATTTGATACGCCATTTTATATGGACTACCATGGAGTACCTACAGAGATTTAGTAATCGTAGTAATTGAACCAGATTTCTTCAAATACCTATTATATATAGGTATTAGGTATTATGTTATAATACTGAGCAATTCAGTACAGTGAATCACTTGAAAATAAAAGTAAGTACGTCATTATATTATGACACACACACACCATCAGGCCACCAAAGAAAAATCAAATCGTCGAAGAGGTTGGCAATTCTAAACAGATTGGCATTTTCCAGATCTTGAGTATATTTAATAATTACATTTTATTATAATATAGTGTAATAAAATATTAAAATCTATAACTTATAAATAGGAGGTACCTACCTATAATTGTTACAAAATTGTTTTTTTTTAGGTGGGTACCTATAATGACTTCCAATTGCATAAAATAATATTATATTATACTCTCAAAAACTTTTCGGTAAAAAGAGTGTTAACAGATCAGTAGACAGTGACCACCCTTCAAAGGTGTGTACAGCGGAGTTGAATAGGCGTAGCCACCTCAGATGTCCAAATGTCTTTCAACCACCCGCCGCCACCCCTAAAAAGGAAATTTTTTTTTTTTTTAATGTTCGAATAATATTCATTTTTCATGAACTGCTTGCTTAGACGCGGCAATCGCATGCCATTATTAAAATAAAAAACAGAGAGCTAGCTTGTGCTACATAATAGGTGTGAATTCAATGATTCCGTAGGTACGAAAAATGTATTCTGAGCGAAGGAGCCGGAAGAGTTTAAAATGGAATTTTGTGTATAGAAAACAGTGGATAGTAAAAGTGTGTAAGTGTAAAAGTTTCAATATTCTATATTCACGTTTTTCATTACAATTAAATATTGATTAACTAAAATTGTTTGATAAAAAATAAAAATAACAAATTATTTTTCGTTGAAATGCCCAAATTTTAAATGCTCATTAAAATATTTAGTTTATTACTTTATGCTGAATGATTTTTAATTTCAATGAAAACAACTTAATAGGATATTTTTAATACATTTCCAACTCTTGTGTTGGTGTTTAAACTGAAAATTGTATGAAAACTGTTGTGATTTTGAATAAGCCCTCTAGAATTTAATCGAAAAAAAATTGTTTTAACATCGTGTTTTTTTTAGCGATGTGTGGAAAATGACATTAATTTTTATCATATTTAGGTATTTAATTTTCTATCCTTCTCTCCCACAATTGTTGTACCCGACTATGACAGACAACTGACAAGCTGTATAATAAGTATTTGTTATAACCAGTGGTGAAACTAGGGAGGAGGCTATTGGGGAGCTTAACCCCCCCCCCCCCCCCCCAATTACTAAAAGTCCTCTCAAAAAATAATAATATAATATATTTTAAAATTTAAAAAGAAAAAAAGAACCCCCATAAAAATGTCTGGAGGCTCCGTGTGTACAATAGTACATTGTTGTCGCGACACCACCTGTTGCAGGATCAGGCAGAAAGCAAGATGCTTTGCTTTCAGTATCTCTACCATTGAATCGGTCCACACTTTTTATTTGTAACTAATTAAAATGTTCCTGTAAATTTGTATGAAAGTTACAATAGTTAAAATGAAAGGTTACATTGTGCTTTTTTTATTTTGATAATCCAAGAGTGGGACTCCAAAACCAAAATGAAAAACGTTTAAATTTTGTCCATTTTGATTTTCACAATTAATCTGGCCAATGGTTATATTATGCTTATTGTTGGCACATCTTTTTTTTCCTAACATAAAGACCATACCATATTATTTTCCCTAAGCCGACGCCGGTCAATAAAATAACTTTTACATCCACCAATGTAACTTTTAACTTTAAATGTAACTTTTTTACATGACTGTAACTTGTATCTAGTCACACCACGACAACATTATGTAAAGTATATAAAAGTGTCTAGTAAATTGTAACTAGGTGTACAAAGTTTTAGAGTAGGTAACTATTGTAACTCGTAACCATAGTCACAACATAAATTGAGTAACTCATCCAACCCTGGGTATTATATTAATATTTTCTCTTTTACCATGATACAAACACGACGTGGCGATTTCGCGAATTACTTGGACCTGTACGTATAATATATATAAAAACATTATGAGTGAGGCAGCGACGCAGCGTTCTCGCCTTATCGCCGCGATTCTCGAGGTCCAGCCGTTGGGCGGTAGTCGGAGATAAGAGGCGTTTATAACAGTGCACGTCGTGTATATATTATAATTTATAGGTACTATAATAATAATATTATTAATTATAATGTACGATAAAAATCCGAACGCAATTATTATTACACAGTACGAAAACCGAGTAATGTGTTACTATAATATCGATGACTACCTATATTATAATATTATAATATACGATAATAGTGATGATGGTCAGTCATAATTCGGTTAGCATCAATGTCGGTTGTGGGTAGTGTACCTATATAATACCTATTCCGCACGTAAAAGTACCTACACACAATATTACATAACGCTATATAGGTATATTATTCGCGTTTCGAGTACACCGTAATTATTTACATATAATATCATGCGTCCTGCCAATATAATATGTGACTATACGACCAGCTTGTGCGAATTTCAGCGATTATAATTTAATATAATATATTTTTGTGGCTATAATGCTAATTGTTGAAGGTCGAGATGCTTTTTTTTTCGTTCTGCTCGCTTAAACTGCAGTAAATCTACCGTTATAATATCATAATCACTATAATATTTTGATATCGATCGAATATTTATATAATAATATGTATATTATATGTATAGTTTATTATTAGCATTATTGTTATTATGTGTGTGTTACTATTATCATCGTCAACCGCCGGAAAGTTTTTAAGTATACATTAAAAACGTCGCAGTGTACACCGCAAACTTTGTCATAAAAATATACAACTTCCAATATAACCGAAAAAGTGTCGAACCGAGCGTCTTAAAATCGTATCGTGATAATTGCGAGAACAATCGCTGGAGTTTCGAGTACTATATATTATTATATAATACCACAGTTGTTAATTGTTGCCGACGGGGTTGAAACCGAACGACGACAACCGTTTAAAAAGTTTGTCACACACACACACACACACACACACACACACACCCATACAACCCGTTTAAAGAGGGTTTTACGGGAAAAGCGTCGAACCCTTAGCGATTTCGATGAAATTCGGGAAAAAAACTTTCCCGTCTCGATTTATTAGAGCGTCATTATAAGTATATAATATATATAAAGCAATAACTGTAATAATATAATATTATGCGATATGAAAATTTAAAAAAAAATTAATCAATAATGTACTCGCCGAGAAATCGACTCCGGGAGACGATACAACTACAATACAGGCGCAAGATCGCAGTGGCGACAGTGGCGTCCTAGGGGGGGAGGGGGGTTAGCGCCCTCGCTTATTAATATAATTATCGTGTACGACAACAACGACCAAGGACAATATAACAATACAATGCAATATAATATAATATAATATAATATAAATATATTATAATATATGTATATATAATAATAATAATAATAATAATTATAATAGTCAATATAAGCAATACACGAGCATAACAATAATATAATAACAATTAGAGGGGGTCGCTAAATATTGTTATTATATATTGTTATGTCGACCGGTGCTTAGCAGGGAAGGGGGCGGGGGTGGCGGGGAGATAGCGCGCCGGTCGCCACGCGCGCAGAACGCGACCGCGGCGCAGAACACGACCGCGATCCGATGGAGCTGGCCGTGACGAACGCGACGGCGTCGCCGCCGTTACCCGCGTCGACGGCGTTCCCGGGCCGTGTGCCGAGTACCGGATTGCAGATTGGCGTCACCAGCCTGTACGCTTTTGGCATATTCGGCAACCTGCTTGCGCTGTTCATATTGCACCGGACCAGGTCAAGCAGCAACCAGAAGCACGGGTTCATGTTGCGGTGCCTGGCCACCAACGATTGCATCGCCCTCACCGGCATGCTGGTCCAGATGTTCGTGAGTGTCTGCTGGCCGGGCACCAGGAACAACGTGTGGTCGTGCAGGATCCGCGTCCTGTGGCGGTTCTTCGGACTGGGTTCCGGGTGCGTGGCCATCGTGATGGCCGTCGAACGCTGGCTGGCGCTCACCAAACCGTTTTTTTACCAAAAGGTGCGTACCCATAATATAATAACGTTGGATACACCTGTTGCTGCAGCTGCCGCACGCGTGTATACCGTACACCCGGTTATAGGTGAAAACAACCCCTGCATTTCGTCCCCACCGCACCAGACCCACATACGCTTCACCCGAGCAAGCCTATAGAATACGTTCGTCAACACACGCTTATTGCAGGCGGGTTGTTCGTATTTACTGTACAATTCCGGAAACTTAGTTTAAAAAATAATTTCGAGTATAAATTTCTGACAAATTTAATTATTTCGAGAAAATAATTAAAATTGGAACTAAAGAACTTGTAAAAATCACCTTTATTTGAAAATAATATATATCGAATAGACTGCAATACAACTTATGGTCTGTAAATATAGATGACATATTAAAATATAATTTTGAAATTTTAGATAAATTTAATATAAATAACTTAAGGCTTTTTTATATATCAAAGCATAAATGTAGGTAAATAGCCTAGGCCGAAGTTGCGTTATAAGAACGGCTGAAAATTTCACTATGCATCTATAGAACTGTAGCTGGGGACACAATATGTCAATAAATAATATTTTATCAGTGCCCATTTGCAAAAGTATTACGTTTGTGTCGCTTTTTATTTTTATTTAAGTTTAAAAAATGTAGAATGTTTTTTGTACTATTGTGTTTTAGAAAAATTTAAAAAACTTTATTTTGGCTTATTCCAAATATTGTGCATTATTTCGTTATTGGTCAAGTATATCGGCGAAAAAGGATAAAATTCTATTTTAGCAAAACATATTAAGTACATATATAAAATATTAGAACATATAACAACCATAAAACTATCATATTATTTTGGTCATTGAAAAAACCAATTATGTTTATAGTAATATAAACAGCCAGTTGAGTATTTTATACATTTTTGTCAAAAAATCAAAGTTGTGAGAAGGGTCCTCAAAAGGGGAGGGGGCTGTTAGACTTAGAGTTCAGGGGCCCGTTTAAATGAATTTGTAGTTTTTGAAATTTTGAAATTTTGATAGAAATACTTATTTTATATTAAATAATATTTTATTGGGCCCGAAAAAACATTTAGTACAGGGGCCCAAAATTTGATGTGGGGGCCTAGACTTGTGAATATAACTGCAACTATAGCAGGCGGTCTTTTAAATCACTATCTATAGGTCAATGTTTTAATGATTTCAACTTTCGATTTACTTATCTGTTTAAAATTGTTGTTCAGTGCGTGAGGCTGGAATAGTCTTTAATATATTGTCGATTTTAAAAACCCAAGTATAATCCGGTGAGAGAAATAAACGTACATATTTAATTTGTTGATTTTTGAAATCACGATCAGCTCTGATGGTTATTGACCTTATTTAGTTGGTTAATTTTGTCAAGTATACGACAGACAAGTGAGCGCAAATTCGTACTCAATAGGGGCGGGTCTAGCTAAAATAAATAAACGCTGGAGCTGAGTCATATGGGACGAGGCGTACTTGTTTAATATATAGGTACATGACATTATATTATTATCTATTATACGCGAGCTTCCCGCACTCTAATGTCTGCGACAAAAAATTTTAATATCGAAAAATTCAAAGATTCTCATTTGGACCAATTTCTTAATATTGCATACGTTCGAATTCCAAGAAACATAATATGTATTATAGTTTATTGTACTATTTAATATAATGCGTCGAGCGGTGTTGTGCACGATTCGTGTTTTCGTATTATATATTGTAATATATAGGTATTCCAGACGCTCGACGGGTGATAACAAAGACAGATTTACACACGTCGGTTATCAGGATGCAAACAAGTGGTTTCAAAGTGTCATAACCGAGAGATGTAATAAAATCGTAATCAAAAATACGTTATTATATGTCATACGATTACACGTGCAGCGTATTGGTTTCTTTTCATCATAATAGTATGCGTGAATTGGCCAGGTTCTTCAATAACAGCAATTTATTGTGGTTATCGTTTGGAAGTCACATGTTATGTTGTAACAACAACACTGCAGTCAATGTTCCCCGAAAACGTCTCGGATTTAAACGTCTATCAATTTTTTTCGTCGTCGAAAATCTCGTTCAAAATGAATTTTTTACTTTGACATACGCAGTAGGTATACATTTCAAGCTGCAGTTATTCGAGCTATACAAATCCACCCTATCTACTTTCACACATTATATCGTAAATATCGTTCTCAAAGTTTGGAGGGTTAAATTATAGATTGCTATATTATATGGGTATATTGACCCACGCCTATATCGTGTGTACCCAAGCTGTTCGTAGTGAAATTGCCGCATTGAGAAATCTCCATCGAATTTCTTTTCTATTGATTCAAATATATGCACGTGTATTTTTCAAAACAAATATCACACTCTCATCTGATAAAACTGTTTGTTTACACGATGGAAACTCATCGAATTCGTGGACTTACCAACAGACAATAAATGTATCCTCAAGAGTGTGTGAAAAGGTGAAATATGATGATAAATTGTATATTACAGTTAAAAATGGACTTGGTGTGCAAGTTGATGATCATATTATTTTGTTGATTGTATTTCTATGGCGTCGAATTTTATTTAGTAACTAGTAAGTCATGTAGTAAATTTTATTATTTTTTCGATTAATTGAATACCTTGAAAAGATGTACTAATAGTTGAATTTCCGGATTGATATGAGAAAACTATAAATAACACGAACGAATTCTGTAGAATTTACGTAATCTTACTAATCTTAGAACGTTTAGTTTAACTGTTTAAATATATTCTGATAAATTAATAACGATATAAAATGTAATTAATATAATAAATTGTAAACATATAACATTAAAAAAATTATACAACTTAAAAACAATAATGCTAATCATAGCATATTACTGTAGTAGTTAAGATACCCAGAAGTCATAGAGCATACCATACCTCACCTAACATATTAACATAACCATAATTTCATATTTCAAATAATTATCTTACAAAATATGTCTGAAAATGACAATAATTATATAAGTAGACCTACATAATAGTTATACATTATTATAGTTATATATTTTTATTCAAATTAATTATTTAAAAACAAAACAAAAATGAAATAGGGAGTTAAAATTGTCAACAATTAAGTAAGCATTTATGTTTTATTTCAACTTTCATGATAGTTTTGTAAAAATTGTATAATTTTGAACAGCATTAATTGACAAGCATCAATTAATATTAATATTATAACGAATAGAAATTATGGATCACGTATTAATGTATTATATAAAATGCTTTGGTAGGTTTTCCTAGAATTGTTAGCTCTAAATATGAAGCAATTATTTTAATTAAGCAATTTTCTTAAGGTTTGCTATTTTTTATAATGTGTGTCATAATTATTATAGTAAGGTAATATTTTCATACCTAGCTTGAGAACTGTCGATACCTAATAAATAGCAAAATATTGTCTTCGTTCATCATAGTATTATGAGAAGGGAGGAGGTGTAAATGGAAAACAAAAATAAATTTCAAGTGTACCATAATACTCAATGTGACGACTACCTCAGGTATCTCTCTAGTAATTTATTGTGATTTAAAAAAAAAAAATCGCACACTCTTATATCATCCAATTTAGTTAATAACATCCAATAATGCAATAATATGATCTTATTTGTTATTTTTATTATTTTTTTGCACTCTGGCGAATCCGATAAATCAAATATTATATTTTCATTATATTATTTAACTTTAACTTTTATAATCATAAGTTATAACTTTTAACATATTATATCGTGTAAAAATTGATATAAAAGAAATAAACACAAATGGGAAAATCAATTCCAGCAAACTGTGATAAATAATACAATAACCACCTAGCTAGGAGTTTAAATATATGAATAAAATACAGCTTTTTAAATTTCTAAATACAGTGTTCCTGTGCAAATGAGAAAAATTACCTTTAAGTTATACTTATTACGGGTATTGTTCATGTTTTTTCAATAACTATATATTATATAGTTTCAATATGAATCGTTGTTATTTAATATAAGCTTACTTAAAATTAAGTAGATTTAATCAATGTTTTTGAGCCAAATTTATTTTAACAGATAAGTAATGAAAACAATTATTTAAAGATTAAGCTTATTACTTATTAACTTATTAGGTATAAATACTGTTGTTCCTCATTTTTAGTACTTGTGGGTAGAAAGTAGGTAATTGTAATAGCGTAAGTCTTTCAAAACCTACTGGCTTGTATAAGACATAATAATGACTTTTTTTTTATTAATATTTTCTTTGCAAAAAAAAAAAATGTATGTTAACGTTATTTCTTTTGAAAAAAAAAACTATAATTAAGGAGTAAGGACCCTTCAATAAGTACATTTTTAAGATAGGGGTTTGGGCCGAGCTATATGGGTCAAAAGAATAAATGTATACACACAAATTAAAGTGAATAATTTATTATAACTTTGAGTAGGTATCTATCATTTTATATTTACAAAAGTTACCCTAATATGGGATATAGTAAGAACTAAAAATTATTATGGGAGATAGTTTTATTACATCGCGATATAGCAATACTTCGGTTATTTTAGCAGAGCTACTATATATCTAACTCAACTTCTGAATAATACAATATAATAATATTATTTAGTAAAATTTAGTGACAAAAGTCATTGGGCTTTCGTATGATAATATGTTATTTTAGAGTGGTAACAAATATATTATGTTTTCATTAAATAATATTATAATAGAACAATAATTTTCAACGACGCAGATAAGGTTGAAACAACTTACTGTTAGGTACATTATGAACAATTATGAAATATGATTCACATTACACATAATTAGGTAATTGAAAATAATGGTTATGACTATTGACTTATATAACATAATAAAATATTGTAAGTTACAGTCACACAGATCAATAAAAAAAAAAGATAGAACGGCGATTATCATATTGTCCATCGAAAGATGAAATTTATATCGTAGTCTTTAAAGTAAAATCTTTACATTATTCAGCTTTAGCTTTAAAACTATACCAATGCTAATTGTCTGGTTTCCTCAAGATTATTATATCGATGAAATGGTAATGACACAGCTTGGTCAATTTTTTGATATCAGCTTTGTCGCACATTTTTTTTTTACTATAATGTATTGTGAAAACCAGTATAGTTATGTAGGTGGCTCAATAGTATTGGT